GACCCCCACCTTGGATTTCACATTTTCACGCACATATATAGGATAGCATAATATATTTATTCCACGATTATAATTTTAAACAACGTTTATCATCATGATTTATACATTTATTGTCTATGACGTGACTATGTACACTACACGAACATAATGATAAAAATATAAAATATTATCGTCTACTGTCTAGCTTCGAGAATAGCAACACTGCAACACCATACAAAATTAACAATAACATAATATATTAATATATAGTATATACTATCTTATATACGTCATATTATATAGTATTGTTTATCCATCTCGAATTCTCTAATTTTTCCCACGTCGTCAATTCGTCAAAACCATAAACAAAAGATTAAAGGCCTAGACCACAACTGATATAAATAGAGGTATAATATTATCATTCATATCCGTCCAGTGGCAAGGCGTCGGGGGGAGGGGGGGGCATAGGATGAAATTGACCACTCAGACTACATGATCCAAGGGGCGCAAAAGTATAATCTCCTCCTCCCCCCCCCCCGCAACCACATCAAAATTAAAACGCCAAGGTACAGTCGTAAATTACGTTCAATTAATACGTTTACGATACGTATTCAAAATTGGCACATTTTCATGAGTGTGTTCAATAATATTGTTATTATTATTATTATTATAACACAATACATATTATATTGAGTAATAATTTAGAACTATAAAAAATTAACATTTTCTGTTAGGAGTGCTTTATTAAATTATTGAGATATTCCACCAGCAATGCCGGCGTTAGGTATTGCGGGGCCTTGGACAAGGTATTAGTCATTAGGTACCCCAGAAGAGAGTAAAATCCTAGTTTATTTTAATTCAGGATTAAAAAAAAAAAAAATTGTTTTTCTTCAAATTTTAAACATTAAAAATAATAATATTATTTTTATTTTTTTTAAATCGCGGGGCTATTTCATAACTTAAAGAAATATATATATTAAGAGAGATTTTCTGTTATCAATCACGAATAAATAATTAAATATTATATAATGGTGGTTAGGTTTCTTGTGTTTTGCTCCCCTCCTCCTCGTAAAATATAGTTCCTGCGGCACTGTCTTCGTCACGGAATAATATTATTATTTATAATTTATAAGACACATACAGCTATTAGCTTTAGAACTAAGAGAAAAGACTTCTCGAAAAACGTTCTCATAATTCTCTCCGTCGTGGGATTCATTGATTAGCCAGTTTTTTGAAATTTCACTTCTCTAAACGCTGTGATTATTCTTTATTGTCATTTTTCAATCGTGTTCTTAATTCTCATTCACTGTTCTTAATACTTGAACTAATCGGGGGCTCCCAAGTGAAAAAAAAAATATATTAACAACATTGCACAATTTCAATTAATTTTATTTTATTAATTACATTAATCGCTCTGTAAAAAAAAAACAAGAACTAAAATATCTATATCTCATCACATAACTGTAATGTCATGACGGCAATAAAATATTGTGATGTATACATAACACGTCATGTCACACACGACTATATTAGGAAATCGTTAGTTTTCCGTTCATAAAATTGATGTACATAGTGCATACTGATACTGTATTTTTCATTATAAACAAATTTAGAGCTCGTTGGTTTCACGCAAAATAATGAAATCTTACATTACAGGTTTATCTGTAAACTTAATATGTTCAAACCGTTTCCTGATAAAATAGGCAACCCGATTTAGGCCCCCAAATGTAAGAAACATTTCGTGGGCGCTGGAGCAATGCACTGAGCACCACTGAGTACTGACTAATTATTTATTATTATAAATATTACAGTGTCGTTGTTTTATTCAACTAGTCAAGAGATAAAACGATTGTGTTGTTATTTTCTCATAAATTCTATTGCGTTTGAATATTAATAATTTTAATCTTGGCAATATGTATATATGTATATATTAATATTATTATAATTACAAATTACTACTTGAAAATAAAAACGCTAACTAGGAACTCGTGTCTATTTTGCTCCACTCGGTCACAGCACATATTAATATATTATAGTCGATACACCATATTCATGATACACCATTAATTAATGAATAAGAAGCGGGGGTGTCGCTCTGTTATTGGGAGGTCCAAGGTGCTCATGGATGGAGAATGAGGGTGTCGTATATGATAAATCAATGAATGTATTTATAATGTGGTCTGAGAATAGTCAACAATGCATATCCCCCCTTTCCCTTTCAAAAAATCTGAGAACGCCAATGCTCTGCTCAAGTCTGCTGTACATTAGGAGTCTAGACTCTAGAGAATCACTGTAATGAATGTGTTCAATTAAATTCAATAATATAAAATCATTGTATACGAAAAACAATTCTGAGCGAAGATGGTCTGTTAGCCTATCAATACATTTATTTTACTATTGGGGGCATTAGTTTTTAGTACAGCCGTCAACAGTAGGTTAAATTCATTTTTTCTAAAAAAAATTACACTTGTAAACGTCATTGTGTGTGTATTAAATATAATTATGTGGGCAGGTACTCTCAAAGTTCCATGTACCCACGAAAAATATTTTTAAATTACAACAGAATAACTAAAATCGTTGTTCTTGGTTTTAATATGTAATTTAGTTCAAATATGAACTTAAAATGTCAGTAAAGAATAGCTGTGTTTACATATATATTTTAGATTGTTTGGTTACAGTATGAACTATTTATGAGATTCGCTGTTTCAATAGGTACTTCAATCCTTGGCTATCACTATTTAACATAAGTGTTGTTTTTAACAACAGAAGTCCAAAATAATTTGAACATGTTCGAGATTTTGATAAATTTAGTCAACATTTTACTTTAATAAAAATGGACATTATGAATATGACATTTATAGAATAAAAAACTCTAAAAAAATAATTTAACTTTTCGATTTACTTTTTTTTTGTTAAATATAGAAAATCTTAGAGGGAATCTTGTATTTATAGTTTTCAAAGCTTAAATATAAATAGAACATTTTTTATGAATTTCTAACTCGAAATGATATGCAATTTTAGTGATTTTTTTTAGTTTCCAACAACTTATGAGAAACGTTGTATTAAAATTTCAAGTTTTTCGACAGGACAACAATTTTGAATCGACAATAATTTTAAAAAAAATATAATAAAAGTAGACATTTTCTAATGTCTATAATACCTAAAAAATAGCTGCAATGTTCCGAAATCTTATGATGCTTAGAGTTACACCAAAAAACAAAATCGATTTTTTGGAAAACTGGTAAAATAATAAAAAAAAATAAAATATAAAATTATCTAAAAAAAAAATATAAAATATAAAAAATTAAAAAATTAAAAAAAAATATATAAAAAATATCTAAGTTTTTCTTTACGCTTTTGAAAACTATTGTGGATATATATTTTTACCCCCACTCCTTTTACAAATTAGATTCACTTTCCTACCAGAAAAGATGGTGTTGAAGTAAATCAAAGCATTTTTACTGCCATAAAAGGTGATGACAGATACAAATAATTTTTAAAAAAAAACACATCATTGTAAAATCATTCATTGCTCAAAATCTAAAATCTAAAACAAACCAAATTTGCATTTGTTATTCCCTATAACCACGATTATTTACTTACTGCTCTACTATTTACTAGGTAGTAAGGTACATATATCCAACATTTCAATTTTAATTTCGACAAGTATTTGTATTTTTATTTCCTATAAAAAAAAATGTAGTAAAATTTAATGTGAACGCCTAGTCTTTAATTAATGTAAATTAGTATACTGCTTATTCTTAATGATCTACAATTTACACTCAATTAACCTTATAAATGTATGTATAAAGTATCGACATATAGTAGTTATTGGGGTATGCAACGTATAGTGGTCTACTGTGGCCTACAAATAAATGTTTCAGTAAGACACTATAACATTTTTTTATGATTATTCATAAGGTATTCATTTGAATTACCAAAACAGAAATCTGCTAATTTTAAATGTGCAATACTAGTTTTATATCAAATATTGAATCCGTTGTAGGAAAAAATGTTAGTTATTAATTATTATCATTTATACTAAGCAAATTGTCACATTGGTGAATTTGACATTTTTTTTGAGACATTCTTGTTGTAGTTAGTCATTTTTTATAATATTATAAACATTAGGTACTTTTATTTAGTGATAAATTGTATTTAAATACTTTATTTGTACCAGTAAATTTCAACAAATATTTCAATGGATTATTGTATTTATATTATCTTAAAAAATAAAAATTTTAAATATGTTACAAAAATATGTATAAATAATATATTATATTTCTAATCCCACCTCAACAATGTTCTCTTTTGACTTCTTAATTTTATGAATTACATACATATATAACTATGTTTTATCATATAAAATTGAATATTTTTTTAAACTTACATTATTTGTATTCTTACATTAAAATAATAGTTTCTTTTTGGGAGGTTAAGTAATGTGATTCGAGTTAAAGGCAGGGCTAGAATTAGTGTTCAGAGATGTGAGAGTGTATACTTCTGAGGACCTTTCATGCTACTGTATACATTTGTATCTACTTATTTACTCACAATTAAGTAATATCAAATAAAATAAGCACAATTAATAGTGAGAGTGAAAATGTGGAAAGATCTACACTAAAAAATTTGAAATAATTGTGGTTTCGACTTTTAAGTAGGAAATGGAATTTCTATATCTGATAACTTGGGCTTTGAATTTAATACACTATACAACTTGAAAGGGATATTCAATTTTAAAAAATACACTTATAAATCCAATAAATACAATAAAATATAAAATAGTTACAGTTTTTTAAAAGAAACAACCATATTTAAAAATAAAAAATTTATTAACCTTGGTTCAAAAGTATGTTAGAGTTATTATTGAATTTATGGCCTTGGCTAAGCATTATTATTCATCAAACCCAATTAACAATATTTTTTTTAAAAAGATCTAATTGTTAATAGATTCAAGTTTTGTTTATGTTATTCATTGTACTTAGTATTTTGTTTGTTTGAGAGTTATTATCTTTTTTTAGTTATCATGTTGCGGATTACATGGTGGAAATAGTTACAAAGCAAAACAATTATCAATACCAGAATCTTGTTATAAAGATCAGCAGAACCTTAAACAATATGCTGAAATAAACAACTGTTATATGGGTTGTTTTGATTTAGTGAAAAAACTGGAAGAAAAGTTTTTGAATCCAGTCATCAGTCTAACATTTTTTTGTTCGTTTCTACAAGTATGGAAAATATATTTATCAATTTATCACTTGAATTTTAACATAGGTGAATTTCTTAACGTAGATGTCAAATGCTATTTTGATTTTGAACTTGTTAAGACCCAAACCAAAACCAAGAAGATACCACATTACTTACAGAAGAACATAATCTGCCAAATAATACAAATAATTGGTTTGCTTAAATATTTGTTTGTTAATATGTTAGACAAATTGGATACAAACAATAATAAATAGCCAACAATCAATAGTGAGGTCCAAATACTTAACCAATTGGGAAAATGGAATTGGGATGTTACCTAAAAAAACTTCAGGACAGGAGAAATGCAAAGAGTGAAAGTAGTGTGTTAAGATTTTGTTTGATTGACTTTAACTAGCCATTTATTATACCAGTAGTTTCCATGTATTTGATTGCCTTATCAACCCCAAAACTCAGCTGGGAATGTATTTGGAGAGGTAGATATATTAGCAGCATATCAAATTATATTGTATAGAATCTGAGAAAGAAAGCCACCTAGTGGCTCTTATGCATTAATATGTCAGAAATTGAAGAGTCAAACCTGTCTCAAAAGTGGCTGTTAGCAGGAATGATTTAATAACAAATAGTATGTAGCCGGAATGAAAAGTTTTTGCTTATAAAGTTTGCTCATGCCTAACGTTTGTGCAATCAAGGAACAAGCGAGACCAGTATTTTTTCTTTCCAACAGATAAAATATAATATTTGTACAGAGTGATCCATTTAAGAGGGTACCTACACAAATTATTTCAAAGTCTTTTTTTTATTATTTATTTTTTTGAATTTTTTTTTTTAAACTCTTATATTTATGTTTTTCTAAAACTGCATAATATTAAAATTTTTTTTTGTCCTTTTATTGATTGGTGAAACCACTACCAACTTTTGATTTTCAAATGGAAACATATAATACAAATGTCAGAAATTGATAAAACTATTTTTTTTTTATGAATTTTGGCATTAAAATTTTTATTCTTTGTTATTTGGTTTGTTAGATACAGTTCCTCAAATTTTGGCTACAAGTATACAGCTATCCAAATAACCAGTTTTCTTCTATTCATTCTTCGTAATTCAGTATGTCTAATTAGTCGATAGGCTTATAAATGATTAGGGTACAAAGTACAAAAGTTATAATTTATTAATTGTTACCTTGGGTTGAACAGTATCAAATTCATCACTTATACCTCCTGGTCTATACAAATAAATTATTTATTCATAATAGTATAATCAACACCTCCTTATAACACCAAATTTTGAGGAACTGTATCTCGCAAACGAAATAACAAAAAATACAAATTGTAATGCTAATATTCATAAATAAAATGGTTTTATGAACTTATGACCTTTCTATCATATGTTCTTATTTGAAAATTTAAATTGATAGTGGTTTCACCAACAAATATAAGGGTGAAATTTTTTTAAATATAATACAGTATTAGAAAAGCATAAATCTATCAAGTTTTTAAAAAAAATTCAAAAAAAAGTTAATATTTTTTGAGATAATTAGTGCACCATCTTAAATTGATCATCCTGTATATATAGGAAGTTGTAATTGAACTATATAAAAATACGAATTATAATATGAACTGAAAAAAGTCAATAAGTTTAAAAATTCAATCTTATATTATTATAATAACAACAGTAGTTTTCAGTCAATTTACACTTTGTGAACTTTTAAAACATTATTAATTAAGTAAACAAAATATGTTCTTAAAGGTATTAACTGCAAAGGTGCTATAATTTGCCAATAGTTTATAAATTATTTAAGTTTAAACTTCAATTTACATTTTCATCCCTTACAATTTCCAAACATCTTCTAGCAAATTCTTCAAATATAGGTTCAACCATAGCTTTTTCCAACTCTTCATTAGGATTAGTACTGTTGTCTATTTTTTCCAATAGTTTTTGTAAATAAGAATCAGAAACTAATTCTTTTAGGCGATTGTCATAACCTAAACACAAAAAATAATAGAATAATATATCAATAGGAAAATAAGTAAGTTAATTGATAATAATTAATTGTATAATGTTAACATTTAATTTTTTTTTATAATCGAATCAAAATAAAATAGGGTTTTTTTACAAACTAGAAATTTAAAAATAATAACAATTTTCTACAGCAGTAATAATGATTAAAAAAAGAGGGTAAGTGGATGTCGTTCTACTATACAGTAGGTTAAAAGTGGGTCACTGTAATGGATTGTGTTAAATTTTAGTTGAATGATATAAAATCATTGTATACAAAAAACGATTCTAAGCAATGCCAGTCTGTCAGTCTGCAGGGTGTCTTGTGAGGGTTCACCCACTGCGATATCTCCTGAAATAGTGGAGACATCATAATTCTGGTTTTTATTAAGACTCACAGGGACAAGCTCTACAGATAATTCATGCCTTAATTTTTTGGTAAAAAGTTTAAAAATTGAAGATAGTCATACTGTGGAGTTCATTTTTCTGAAAATATTGACGTTTCAACATTGTAACTTCATTAATCTCCTAATTTTTAATAATTTTTCTAGTTTTGAGAAAAGCTGCAAATTATTTGACACGTCCGTTCTACCATAGTCGTACATTTGATTATGGTTATAAACCATATACCACTATAATTGTAGGACGGTGTAATAGAAAAACTATAAAAATTGAAAATTGTATCAAGTTTATGTAATGACAATATAAACATATGGTGTAAATTTCAAGTATCTAAAGTTATTCATTTTTGAATAACAACAAAATAAGAAAAGCTATATGAGAAATGGATTGAATAATATTTACTTTGACTTTCTGGCTAACCTTAGACAAACTTATAAGGAGTCTTGTATTCAATTTTCGAATCTTAGAGATGAAAAGAAAAATTTTTATGAATTTTTCAACGTAAAATAATTTGAAAATTTTAGTGATTATCATGTATTTTGTTGAAATTTTAAAATCACACTCATAAAAAATTTCTGTGGATTTACGCTCATCTTTTTTTAAATTTCCATTAACAACAACTTACAAGGAACCTTATATTACATTTTCAAGTTTTTGACAGAGCGAAAATTTCATATGCCTATAAATAGTTCAAAATGAGTTAAAATATTTTGAAAACTAAAACTATATGGTGTATAGACATTGTGTCTCACAAAAACATTCAGTGAACATTTCATGTATCTATAGTCATTTTTTTTAGAGTTACACTAAACACCGAAATCGATTTTTTCAAAAACTTCTTTTGAGTAAAAATTCTTAATTTTCCTTAATTTTTTGTTTTTTTTTCCTGTCACTTTTGAAAACTATTGGGAATTTTAAATTTTCACCTCCCAAATGCACCAACTAAATTCACTTTTCTATATTAAAAGTTGCTGTTGAAGAAAATCAAAGCATTTTTACAGTTTTACTGCCCCAAACTGTAAAAAAACAACATCATTGTAAAATTAATACATTCATTGCACCGCTCGGAATCTAAAATTAGTGAAGATGTATAAAGTATAAAGAATTCAATATTAATAAGGATTAGATAAATAATTAAGTTAAATCATACTTACAAAGTAAATTCAATTTTTCAGATGGGATTGTGTCTTCAGTAGGATACAGTTGTACATTTTTTAATGTTTCAACTGATGCAGCTTGGTTGCTTATTGTACAATCACTTGATAAATGATTTTGGTAACATGCAACTGAACAACTGGAAATTAAAAACATTTTTGATTCATTGAACATGTTTTAGAACATTATATCAACATATTTTTAATTTTCACTGTCTATGAATATTTTTGCAAAATTATCTGTTTTACTTGATCTAGGATATCAATTTTAAAATTCAAGACATTTTTTTTTATTTTTAAGTTTAAATAGTATAAATATAATAACTAAAATAAACGGCACAGACATTTAGTAAATTGGGAATATTCTTACTAGTTTAATTTATTTTGTCCCATACAGTTCATTTTTTAGTTACCATTAATTAGTTAATTGATATCCACATTTTTGGATGCTTATAATAAACCTAGATAAATATTTAATACTTTTACTGAATAATTGGATTTTTCAATAGAAATTAAAATTTAATACTCTTACTAAATTTTAAAATCAATTGTAACACATTAACAAAAATACGAAAAACAAAATAAAATGTAGGTAATAAAATTCCTACATATTCATTATCGTAAAATACGTTTATATCAAATTTGATGTAAGGAAACACTAATTTCTTACAAAAGTGGATAGCACAAAGTTCTAAGCAAGGTACACATAATGACATATTGTATACACAGTGAACTGAGCTGATGAGCTTTGATCATATAATTATGATTCACTCCTATGAAAAATTTTTAAAATTATTTTGGTTTGGATATGACTGAACACCTACTGTTTTACCTAGCAAATATATTCAAACTGTCTGATATTTCTAGGGTAAGCGAGTGATCTTACCCAAAGTCAAAGAACTGCATAAAATAGATTCAAAAGAAAATATCATAGAACTATTAAAACGTTTACCTTTATTAATATTTAATTGGTACTCACTACTTTACGTTTCTGCATTTTGGACATTTATATTTGTGTTCATTAATTTCGCAAACATGGCACTTCATTCTAAATTTGCTTTAAAAAAAAAAATGTATTAAGAAAAATAAGTTACAACTTAAGTTTATTAACTATTATATAAAAACAAAAACTATGAAACAATGAAAAAGATATGGAAACATAATAAATAAAATAAATTTCCTCGAATTTCATTGAATCGAAAAAAAACGTGTTTAATAACTAATGTAATATTCTTATCTGTTATTTCTAAACGCAGATGATAAGGAATAAAGATAAGAAACTCAAATGTAATAGATAAGTAAAAATAACATTAAAAAAACAGATTCTTAAATTCTTGTAAATTCTAAATTTCTAATGTGTTATATTATTATTGTCTGTCGTAAATAAAAAATAAAAATTAACATTTTTGAATTATTAGGGCATGGCTAAATATACTTAATTATTTTAAATGGTAAATACCTACTATATAGACGAATAGTGTATTAATAGCCATGACTGTTTGAATGATTCATAATTGACAGTTGTTATTCAGATTTTGGGGGAGTCTAAATTAGGTTCTTAAGGAAGTGCGGAAGTATTCAAAATTAATATTTCAATAACTGATATCGATGGCCACAAGACCATCTAAAGTAATTCGATTTGTGAGAATTGCGATTTATTTTTTATTTAATTTTCATATTTTACACAACTGAGCTACTCAACACCGAATTTTAAATAGTTTAAAATAAGTGAGAACCATTGAACTACGGATTAATCATCAGCCATTAATGAATATTTCTGGATTTTGTTGCCAATTGATTAAGCTTACGGTACAAAATATCTTCCTCTCATACGTTCCATGTTACAAACTTTTTTCTAGAAGACTATTCAGCTTTGAACAATGGGAAATTGCATTTGATTTGAACTTCAGAAGCTTTTTAGTTGGTAATCATAATTTGATATGCATATTTGTTCTCAAATTAAAAAAAAATGGGACAATAATAATTAAACATTTTAAAGAAATAAAACATTTTATAGTTTCTATTTATTAATACTTATTTTTAAATTAGTTGACATTAAGAGGATACATGGAAATAAGTCACCTTAAATAAACATTTAATTCATTTAAACTTCATAAGGAGTATACATAACACAAAAATGAGTTTATTGCTTTGTAAATCACATATAAAATATCATTATATAAGCTAAATATTCTTGACAAGGTGATTTTTTTTAAACTAAAAATAGTCGTTACTGTAACATTATTATTGTTGGTTAGTGTATATTTGAAAAATTGAAATTAAGTACTTTATTTTAGTATAAAAATATTTTTTTAATGTAACCTATATTTTTAATTTCATATTTTGAAATGTGATTTTTATAAACAATTCAATTTTTGAATACAGAATACTGCAATATTTCTATGTTTTTAATGTATATTCAATTACTGAATCAAGGTTTTTTTTAATGAATTATGAGCATTTAGAATTAAATTATCAGTTTAAAAACAAAATTTTGAAAATTAGTTTGCCAAAATGTATTTTTGTAATACTTCAATCTATGAAAGGCTTACTCAAATAAGCCTAAGAAAAAAAATCACCTTGTGTTATATAATATTTAAATAATATTCCTAGTTTTCTACTAACTTATTCAAACAATACAATACAATAATAAGTTATGAAACTAAAATTAAATACATTTAATTGTTTCAATCTAATGTAAGAAATTACAATTGATTTTGAAAATTGTTTAATTGGTGATATGATACCAAAGTAAAGGAACATTACAATTTTTAACAAAAAAGAATACAAATAAATAAAAATAAAGTAATTTAAACAGAGACTCGCATTGTAATAATTTGAATAAAAAAAAAAAATTAAATATGTATTGTAAAAACTACAAATATTTATTACAATTTAATAAATTTATAGATTTAAAAGGCACAATAATTTGTCTACTTATACCGGAGTATAAGATAGCCGAAATTCATTTATTTTTCTATTATTAGTAACTATAATACTATCTTAAAATACTCATAAATTTAATAATATGTTTATTAAAATTAAAAGGAAATTTATAAATTATAATAGTTAACTAGTATCACAATGATTTAAACTATAAATATTCAAAGATCTAATACATATCTTAAGAAATATGAAAGAAATCACGTTTAGTATATCTCACAACTAATTTTAACAATTATTAATGCAGATTTAACAATGGATATGTTTTATAAGCCCTAAAATCTATAATTCTTTTTATTATGTATTATAAACCAAGTCTAAAAACAGTCTAAAGTATTATGTTAATGTTTAAATGATTGAATTTGATATTGCAGAATAAATTATTATTAAGTAACTATAAGTATAAAGTATTTTATAAATGTGAAAGGTTTGTAAAAATATCCCAAAAAATTTTAACTTAATTTTAATTTTTAGTTAATAATTTAAATACTTTTATCAATTAAGAAAACAATATGACAACTATTTTTTAAGAATGTATCTATAGTCATAATGTGATTTTATACATATATATATATATTTAATAGATATAAAAAATAAAATAATTATAGTTGGTTCATTACGATTATACATGGTTAAAGTTTAGCTGTTAAGCCATATATACTAAACCTAAAATTAAATTATTATACTAGAACACATCCTTTATTTGACGGAATACTTAATCTATTCGTAATCAATATAAGTTATGATAATTTATATTTCAAATTTAAATATATGATGGAATTTACAATTGATAACTTAATTAAACATAATTTTCATTAGTTCAATTTTTTAGCTACTTAATGTTCTAATATTTTTATTTTAAGATTTTAAATAAAAATTTTAAACAATAAAATCGTTATTTTTGAACTGAAATTGTTCAGTATTTTTACTAGCTGATGTGAAGTACAAATTAAAAAAATTCATAGTAAGAATATATTGTACATAATTACAATAAATAAATATTTTTTAATTTAGTTTCAAAAACAAAAGTTGCTTATAAGGTTATATAAATGTCAGCATCAAAACCTTTAAAGTATAGTTGAATAATAAATAATAAATATATAATTAAATAAATGAAATGTTTTTGGTAGTGTAGTATGAAGATACTGAAGAAGTGAACTGAAATAAAAAAAATTAAGTTGTGTAATATGAATATTGTTTGTGCCATACAGAAATAAAAATTTTAAAGTTAGGCATTTTAAAAATATGAACACTATAAGTTAAAATATAAAATAAGTAATATTTAAAACAAAACTAACATAAAGGAATTCAAATTAGAATGTAAATGAGCTTAAAATGAAATAAATATATTAATGATATTAAATATTATAATATACAGTCAAATGGATTAACATGTTTGTAATACCATCATACTATAGTATTTAGTATTTACACCATAGTTTCAGGATCGTTCCAGTCATATGGATGGCCTAATATGCTGATATCGCTGTCAAATGATACTCTCCTAGATCCAGATTGTATGCTATTAATGCCACGAAGAAGATCTATATCTTCATCAAATGAACAACCTCCACCTTCTGATCTTAATTGCAAAGATTCAGTACTTTTTGAAGATAATTGAGAAGTCAAAGAATGTTGAGAGTTTTCCTTATAGTACATGCCATTAAATGTATACACTTTGTCTGATCTAAAATAAACTTTATGTCAATACTTTAAATTAATTTTATCTAGATACCATATTTTACCGGTCAGTGTTTGATTGCAAGTGGTCAGATTGTGGTGAAGACATATCTGACACTAAAGGAGTACTTTCATCATCACTACTTGCTGTCGCGCATACTGCTGAAGAGTGATTTGTATCTTGTGGTGGACTCGTAGGTAATTTTTCATTGCTGCAAACTGGTGATATAGTGACTGCAGGGGGTTGTTGTACCCAACTTGTGCTTGCTACTAAGCAACTTAACATGCCAACTGAGCCTGCAATACCTTGTTTTACAATTCCGCTAGCCTTAACACGGGGTTTTAATCTCATTATTAACAATACTTAAAAAATACACATTACTCTTTTATAAATTATGGACATACTTGTACAGAATTTTTTGTTTCCGGTATTGTGTCTGAATCATCTAGCCTGTTCATTACTAATGATGCTGGTCTTTTAATGGATTTAAGCAAAAATGGTTTACCTGCTTTTTCAGTTGTTGTAGTTACAATACATGTCTAAAAATTAAAAAAACATTTTTGTATAATGTATTATTAAAATATTGATAAAACTAACTTTATAATCGATAAGATTTTTTCTAGAAGCAATTGGAGTATTGTTCAAAGAATTTGCCGAAACAGAATTGTTTCCCTCATATTGAAATGCAGGATATTGAACAATACTATGATGAGGTGAATTCTGAAAAATAAAAAAAATAGAAAATGGTTTATGCAATCTAATGCATATTAAATAATTAATGAAGTGATAACATTGTTATTACCTGAAGTAAAAAAGCATCAACATCTCCTCCATTATCGTTACTTGAAGTTGTACTACACACAGATCCATCACCTATAAAATCAATTAGGTAAAAATAAAAGGGACAATGACTAGATGTTTTTATGGCACTTATTGGCTCACTTTGTTTACTCCAGTGTGTGTAATGTTATATTGTTATTTAAAATATGAAAGCAATGCAAAACTTGACTCATCTTTAAATAATTATAAGTAGAGCTCAGTTTATTATTGTGTTGATGTCGTTTTTAAAATTGTCAAACTTTTCACAAACAAGATTTAATTGGTGATTTTTTGTAAATTTGTAAGATAACTTATTTTTATAAGCTTTATAGTACTGTTCATTGTTAATTAGAAAATAATGAATCAAATGGTATGCTAGGTATATATACATTTTAAAGTATTTTTTGTCATCGATAAGTGTTCCAAAACTTGAAAATTTTACAGCAAACACGTAAGATATTATACTTGATTTGCATCAGTTTTAAATTACAATGAATATTAAAAAAAAAATGTATCTAGGGCATTCTTGTCTATTTTCCATTTTTAAAGAATCTAAAAGCAGGTTACTAATTAATCACTATCGCAGCTACATTTCCAAAACAAAAAGCACTAAGTAAAACCATTCTCATCCTCAACACAATTTATAATCTAAGACTTAAACATGGATGGTTAGTTAAATATATTATGAATATCTATAAGAATTCTATACCAAATATAAATCTTAATTGCTGATCTGCATAATTATCAATTAAAAAACTAATGCATCTTTGTAAAAATAAGAATAGAGCAATTTAAAACAATTAATGGATATATTAGTCTTATACTTTAAAGCCTGTTGACTTAAGTGATC